ATTTTTTTCAAAACTCTCTCTCAAAATAATTTTTTAAAACATCTTTTGAAAAAAAACCAAACCAAACAAATTTTCGTACTTTTTATCTCAAAACATGCTTCTCAAATTCAAAACAAACAAGGCCAAATTGTTTTTTCATCAAACTCCTCCAGTTCATGGTTAGAAACTCTTAGAAGGAATCTTCTCATTATGTGTTATTCTTGTACAGTGGTCATGGATCCCAGCCAGAACACTTCTGTATATTGAGTAATCTGTTAGTCTATAAATATTAGTCATTGACACACACAAGTGCTGTTTAATTTTTCCTTTATCCAAATTTGTAATAATGAACTGTCAATTTTCTGCACGAGTATAATACCTTTTGCATCTAGCTGGGGTCTGGCTAACCCACATGCTTTCATGATGACAAAAATAACTCATTGGTGGAATTATCTGTATTAATTTTAATTCAGAGTTTGGTTCAATGTTACCTGATCATATTCTTGCTAAAATGAAATCATTCACTTATATTTTCAGGTGTTAGAAGCACTTAAATGTTCAACTTCAACTAGACCAGCAATCTTCGCAATGTCAAACCCTACAAAAAATGGTATGTTCATTCAAACTGGTTCATAGATCTGACCAAAGCTATTCTTACTTCTTAAAATTGCTCTTTGACAGCTGAATGCACCCCCGAGGAAGCATTTTCCATTTTGGGTGAGAACATTATATTTGCAAGTGGAAGCCCTTTCAAAGATGTGGATCTCGGTATGTGTTGCAACTTAAATGTCGAATATGCCTCTTCACTGTCATCCTTTAATCTTTTTTCTTTCCCTCACTGTCATACTCTATGTTGCTCATTGTTCAGCCTTTAATTCCGTTGTAATTTGTTTGATGACAAGCACATGAAAAATAACAATGGTTTATGAGGTGAACTCATTTTTTGCTATCTATCTATAACATTGAATTCCATTGGCAAGTGAACTCATTACCTCCCATTGTGTGTAGTTGATTCTGTTTTCTGTTTGGGAACCCCAAATTTCAATCTACATTTTTTTCCTGTCTCTGACATGCTCTTCAGTTTTCATTTATTGCACAATGGTTGTCCTTCCCTTCACCCTAATAAATTTACCCTGATATTGCATCGCACAAGCACTGGAGTATTTCTCAAATGGTAGACGTGCATGCATATTATTTCATTCATAGTATTTTACCAATGGTGCCATGGTTCGGTCAAGTTGTTATTGTTGTTGTTTCTTTCTTCCTTATCCACTTTTTTTTTTCCTCCCCGAAGTCATTGGAAGCAATTTGGAGGCTTACCAATTCATTTGATATTTTTCAAATGGTTGGGTCACAATTGGACTTCCTTCTGCTCTTTTGTTCCATTGATGTAATAAATTGTCTACCTTAATGTTGCTTGCTTCATCATGCTATTTTAAATATGAGATTTATCTTCATTTTATTGTGAAATTCTGAATATGTTTGTCTGTGTAAAGCATTTTGAAATATTGGTTGCATTGGCATTGGAGTTAATTCGGTGAACTCCTAGAATCATCATCATATAAGTGCTTTGTTAACTTTCTTGAAATTCCACAGGAAATGGTCATATTGGTCATTGCAACCAGGGAAACAACATGTACCTCTTTCCTGGGTTAGTTTTAAATTCCACTCTTTGAAAGCACAATGGTTTTAAGTTTTTTGTCTTTTTTCCCCATGTTCTAAATTTCCAAATAGCTGATCATGCAGGATTGGACTTGGAACTCTTCTATCTGGATCAAGGGTTATCTCTGATGGCATGTTACAGGCGGCAGCTGAGTGGTACTTGTCCATTCTGCTTTTCTAAGTTAACTTCTTGAAATCAATTCCACAACAGTTTTAGGATGTGGAAATTATTTAGGGTTTAGGGTTTCACTCCTAGTCTCAGGTTTTATTAGAAATTTGTTATGAACAAAACTGGAGGTGACGGTACAATGTAATTCAGCTTTAATTAGAAGCGTAATCTGGTTTAATATACATAAAAATACATCTTTAGGGTCCTGTTGACCTAACTGCCTCCCGGGTAGGTTAACAGTATGAAAATGCAAATAGATTGCACCTCACCTTTTTATTTGGTTGGGTGAAACTAACTGCTCTGTGCTTTTTATTGGGGCGAAAGGGTAGTTAATTTTTTGCTCATCCTGCTTCTTCAAAGATGAGCATGACTGTCTTCCGCATCCCCAGCCCCATCTTATACTCCTCTTGTTCCCCTCCATTTCTTTTGCCAGTAAAACGAAAGTTCCAGTGGTTTCTTCCCACCTCGATGGATTCTGGCCAAAGTCCCCCTTCATCTCTGTCTACCCTAAATCACTGCTACTGGTCAAATGACCACCATCAGCAACCACTTCATTAGAGCCCACCTGAAATCACCTCAGTGATGAGGTCATCATTCATTGCCCTCAATATATTCTGGAAACAGTGGAGGTGGTAAATCCCAAATCAGTTATTTTGCCAGAATTGTGGACTCCAATACCAGTGTCTCAGTCTACCCCCAAATCACTACTACTGTTCAAATGACCAGCACCAACAAAATCACTTCACAAGAACCAACCAGAATGAACCCAATGCTGAGGTTGCCATACCTCAGCCTCCTTGGATTCTGGAAAGGGTGGAGGTGGTATATCCCAAATGAAGTGAATTTGTGAAAAAAGTGTAGAGGGAGAGGGAGAGAGCAGGGCAAGGAGAGATAAGGACCATATGAGAAAAAAGCACGTGTTATTTTGGAACCATTTGGAAATTGTAATACTTTTGATATACCTTACCCATAAATAATTGATTACTGTGTGCATGATGACTAGAGAACAATTATAGCTAATTTTTAAGATTATTATTTTTTTATATATATATAAACTACTTTTTAAGAATATTTCAATTTGGAAAAAGATGCTTTAAGCCACTTTATTTATATTTATTTATTTATTTTGGTTTTGCTGACAATAATTTCAAAACTACAGCCTAGCTGCATATATGACAGAGGAGGAGGTTCTTAAAGGAACTATATATCCTCCAATATCCAGGTACACGTGTTGGGAATTTCTTATCAGTTTGAATGGATCCAACTGAAATGTTTTGTGCACATATGTTGATCTTATTCATAAATGCAGAATGCGTGACATAACGAAGGAAGTAGCTGCAGCTGTGATCAAGGAAGCTATAGAAGAGGATCTAGCAGAAGGATACCGTGATATGGATCCCCGGGAACTCCAGAAACTTAATAATGTAATTTTCCTTTTAATTTAATAATCCATTTCAAATTTGTGCTCTTATATGTTGTGTTTGCTATTGTTTATCGTGGAGACCTTAAAGTAAAGGAGGTAATACTCATGCAAGTAAGGGCCAATTGGTTGGGCCAAATTAGAGTAAGGAAAACCAGAGTGTGAGAGTTTGGATAAAGAACCACCATGGCTGAGGCCAAAGGACAACCACAAATCCATAGGGGGGCTCTCCTAGGCTCAGGGAAGAATTGCCCATGGGAATGGGCTCCTAAAACTTTAAATAAATAGTGCTTCCAAGGGAGTAGTTGACAAAATGGTTGAGCTTACACCTAGTTGAAACAGGGTTCAATGCTCATGTAGTCCTAGTTTGTTTGGCCTAGAGGTCTGGGTTGTGTCATCAACCACTAACTTGCTGTTAGGTAAGTTATCTGTGCTGAAGGTGTGTCATGGGTTCTGCAGCATTGGTGATTTTGGTGTATTCTTTTACCTATCAAAAAAAAAATATTAGAAGCATTAAAACCCTGTAGAATGTACTCAAATCATTTTCTAACTTTGATAAACTTGACTTGTGCTTTTCGGAAGTTTAGATTTTATGGGTGACATTTTACCTTTCCTAAATAAGCCTCTCTCACTTGTATGAAAATTATATCTAAAATGACGTTGATCTTTAAGCTGCTATTGGTGATTCAAACGGTTTCTGATGGCATAGTAACTCGAAGTTTTCTTTCTGGAAACTGTTAGGCATTTGTCTATTCTGGCAAGCCAACATATTACCCAACCTCACCGAATTAAGTATTTCTCCATGATCTGCAGGAGGAAATTGTAGCTTATGTGCAGAACAACATGTGGAGTCCAGAATACCCGACATTAGTTTACAAGAATGAATGAACGCTTCATAGCCTGACAAATCTCCATCAATCTGTAAACCTTAGCTGCCAAAACTATGGGTGAAGATGCGCCTTTATGATCTATATACGTTGAGGCACAATGCAGTGTAGTCTGCGTTTTACTGTATAGTTATTTTATTTTTCAGTACATATTCCAGTTGTTTTGTGCCTACAGTTTGTATTTGTACTTTGTTATGGTTATTTTGTAACCTTGTAAATCTAACCCATTTTTGGGAACAGTATAAATTGATTTTCCTAATCATGGCAAATTTGTCCGTGGCTTTGATACTGTCTGCTTAGCAAATAAGAGCATCCACCATGGATGTGTTAAAAACGTGTTAAAGTGTGTTATATGATAAAAAATGATAAAAGTGGGAACTAAAAATGTGTGTTAAGAGTTCATTAATTTGATGAGTGAATAGTGATACAATAGATGTGTTAAGGTGTGTGTTAAGAATATATGTATATGTATATGTATATATATGTATATAACTGTGGGACCCACCCTTCTACCAGCTCTCATTCCCTCTCTCTCTCTCCATTGCCAACGGTTATATTTCACATTATACCAGTGCTCCACTGCCAACGGCAATATTTCACTTCAACGACGACTATAATTTACAACAAATAGATATATATTGTATTGTCATCAACTAAATAAATATGCTTTATATATTCAAATCAAGTGCATTTTTATCATCTAACAAGCAGATTATTTGTTCTTTTATCTTCTCTTTCGTTTTTTCCCATAAAAACATCAATGGCATTAGCGTCTCAATTTATTCCTACCATGGAGTCTAGTTCTTTTACACATTTCAGTTCTTCAACCGACGACGATAGCTCATCCGACGCGGATCAAGAGAGTTTCACAACATTACAATAAATGTGTTCGAAAGATGACAAATTTGCTTCTTTCGCCGCAAATGCTAACACTAATCTCAAAACCAGTTAAGAGGCAATATATAAGGTATGATTGTGAGGGAGGCGATCGACAAATATGGAGAGATTATTTTGCTAAGAATTGTATGTATCCACCTAACTATTTTCGTAGATGATTTTGAATGCGTCGAGAGTTGTTTCTTTGCATTTTGAATGATGTTAAAGGGTATGACAAATACTTTGTACAAAAAAAATATTGTACAAGACGGTTGAGGTGCTCTCCTATACAAAAAATTACGGCCGTAATTCATATACTCGCATATGGATTTTCATTAGATCATTGTGATGAGTACAAAAAAATCGGTGAGACCACTGCTAATGATAGCTTGAAGCTTTTTTGTAATGCTATTATTGTCTTGTATGAGAACAATACCTCTGCTCACCGAATGAAGATGACATAGCACATCTACTTGAAGAATGGAAGGCAAGAGGCTTCCCAGGTATGCTTGGGTCTTTAGATTATATGCATTGGGAATGAAAGAATTGTCCCACAGCATGGCATGGAACCCATAGGGGCCATTACAATAAGCCTACTCTTATATTAGAGGCAATCGCATCAAAAGACCTATGGATTTGGCATGCTTTCTTTGGTATGCCAGGTTCACACAATGATGTGAATGTCTTAGATCATTCCCCGATATTTGACAATCTCATACATGGTAAAATGCCTCCGATTAATTACGATATGAATGGGCGTGAGTATACATTAGGTTATTATTTATCTGATGGCATATATCCCCAATGGGCAACTCTAATGCAAACCATCATGTACCCCAAAACAGGAAAGGAGAAGTTGTTTGCTCAAAAGCAAGAGGCTGTTAAGAAGGATGTTGAAAGAGCATTTGGTGTGTTACAGATAAGGTGGGGTATAACGCAAGGACCAGTGCATTATTGGAAAAAAGAAGACGTTTGTCAGATAATGAAAACATGCATCATACTACACAACATGATCATTGAAGACGAGTGCGAAACTGAAGTTGAAAGTTAGAGGCCTCCGGCAGATGAAACTGTATCTCTCTCAAAATATGCTCGAAACCCAACACTTTTGGTGGCACACATCTCGTCTCATCTTAAAAGAACTCGAAATAAAGGAACAAATGCAATGCTTAGAATTGATCTAATGGAACATTTGTGGAATCAATTTGGTGATGAAGATATGAATTTGTGGAGATACAAAAACAAAGGTGGCCGCTCGAACGGAGAGGTCGAGTTTTGGAATTTTTAGATTCACCTCCAAGCTCCCAAATTCAACTTTGAAGCTACAAAACTCATCCATTTGGGCTAAACACTTGAGAAAATACATTTAAACTTGGAAAACATAAAAATTAAGGATCATTTCACAAAATCAAGGCCCAAGAGTAAGTCAATTGGTCAAAGTTCAACTTGAAACTTTAAGAATACATAACATGAATACTACATGCATGAAATGGTTTGAGCTTCAAGTGTCCAAAACACAATCAAATGAGGTGTTTAGCTCCAAAACGTGTTGAATTCTTAAACCATTGCTAAAATATGAACATGCATGGAACAAATTCTTAAACAACATGCTCTATTTGCAATGCAATGCACATGCATGTATGTTTACTCTTCTTGTCTACTCCAATAAGCTTAATTCTTGCCTCAATTCACCTAATCCTATTGAATATATGTGTTAAGCACCTCCATAACACAACTAAAGGCTTAATTTCTTACCTTAGATGCTCAATTATGGCCTAGATGTGTAAATGTTTTGAGTTCCCAAGTTAAATGCTCTAAGTTCTTCCCAGTCCAAACTCCCTTTCTCTTAAGCTCAAGCTTTTTACACTTAACTCTCTCTCTCTCTCTCTCACATCCGTTTTTGATGGCAAAAGATAATGAAGTGTGTAAGTATAGTGGTAATATGAGGCAACATATGGCTTATATAGGTACCATTAGTGAGGTTAATTAGTTTTTTTTTTTAAACTAAACAATTACACTTATTTTATTTTAATTATTTCGTTCCGAATCGAATTTCAATTAAATCTACCAAAAAATTCTAAAAATTCTAACTAACACATAATTCAAGTCAATTTCGCGACCGGATGCCGATAAGGCCTTCAATTCGTAGAACAAAATAGAATTACAAACAAATATTTCTATGATGGACAAATAGAAGCACAAAGAATGCCATACACACATGCAAACAAATTTAGAATTTCATCTTAATTCTTCTTAAGCATATTTAATCATGGATTAAAGGCTAATCACAGGTCGGGGTTGTTACAATGAACTAAGAATCTGTATGCACTATTATTATTTGCATAACCAATGAACACATAATCAACAGTTTTTTGTCCTATTTTACACCTTGGCCAAACACTCCCACACTTTGAGGTAATTGTAGGTAAGTCGTCGACCTTTCCATAATTCATAAGGTGTTTGATTAATTTTCTTATGGGGTACCCTATTAAGGATAAAGTTAGCAGGCAAAATCGCCCTCCCCCAACAAGTTTTGAGGTAACCCTGAACTAATCAACATGGCATTCATTATCTCTTTAAGAGTTCGATTCTTTCTCTCAGCAATTCCATTTGACTGAGGAGAATTAGGTGCACTGGTTTGGTGAATAATACCATGTTCAGAACAAAATTCCTCAAATAGTGCATCATACTCACCACCTCTGTCACTTCTCACTACCTTAGTAGTTTTGCCAAGTTGATTTTCAACCTCAAGCTTATATTGCTTAAAAGCTTCTAAGGCCTCATATTTACTTTTCAATAAGTAAACATAACAATATCAGGTGCAATCATCAATAAAAGTAATAAAGTATTTTTTACCTCCTCTAATTTGAACAAATTTTAAATCACAGGTATCTGTGTGAATTAAACTTAGAGGTTCAACACTTCTTTCTACTTTATTAAATGATGCCTTAGTGAGTTTTGCCTCAACACAAATCTCACACTTATGATTAGAATCAAACTCTAAGTTTGGCAAATATTCTAAACAAACAAGTCTACAGAGAATTAAAATTAACATGTCCTAATTTACCATGCCATAAAAAGAAAACTCAGCAATATAAACAGAAGATATGTTCTTATTATTAATAGCCAAATTAGGTACAACAATTATTACATTGAGCTTAAAAAACTCATCACTCATACAACTTCGCCCCACATACATTCCACTCTTAAAGAATACAACCTTGTCAAACTCAAAGACTAATCTAAACCCATTCTTGATCAACAATGACCCAGAAATCAAATTCTTGCTAATCTCCAGCACGCGAAGTACATTGTTAAGAGTGAGTTCTTTCTCCGATGTCATTTTCAGCACGATCTTTCCTTGTCCTTCTACAGTTGAAATGGAGGAGTTTTCCATAAAAAGTTGTTCCCTATTTTCCATCACTTTGTAGGTTGTAAACATCTTCTTATCTACACAGATATGGCGGGTTGCTTTAGTATCCACCCACCACTCCTTGGGATTACCCACCAAATTTGCCTCAGAGACTATTGCAGCAAGATTGATGTTTGCCACTCCATCGAAAAGATAAAAATCCCTGGCTATGTTGGCTTGTTCAGGCTTTTTGGTTGAAATCCCTCCATTCTTGCGAACGTGACAATCCTTAGCGCGATGTCCATCTTTTTCGCACACAAAACACTTTCTTTTGAACCTCTTGTTGAACCCATTGTTGATCCCTTTGTTGATCTTACTAGTGGATCCTTGTTTGGGACTATTGCCATCATGCTTTCGCTTCTTGTTATTGAATTTTGACCCTTGTCCGTGTTCTACAACATTTGTTTTAGCCTGCATGATATGGTTTCCTGACTTCTTGTCGAAACCGCGATTGTCCTCTTTAATTCTGAGCCACACTATTAGTTCTTCAAATTTCATTTTCTTGTGCTTATGCTTCACATAATTCTTGAATTCTTTATAACATGGTGGCAATTTTTCAATGATTGCCGCTACTTGAAAAGATTCATTGAGAACCATTCCTTCCGCATGTATGTCATGGAGAATTAATTGGAGATCTTGAACCTGGCTAATAAACGTCTTGGAATCTATCATTTTAAAATCCAGAAAACAGCCAACAACAAATTTCTTTATACTGGCATCCTCTGACTTATATTTATGATCTAGAGATTTTCACAGTTCTTTTGCAGTGCTTTTGACACTATAGACATTGTACAGTGTATTGTCCAACAAATTGAGGACATAATTCTGACACGGAAAATCACCGTGTTTCCATGCATCGACTGCGGCAACCACTTGCCGGTCTGCTTCTCCCTCGTTTAGTATCGGAGCTTTTTCATCAATGAAGCGAGCCAAATTCAATATCGTAAGATAAAACATTATCTTTTGTTGCCATCTTTTAAAATCATTTCCATTTAATTTTT